TTCTATAAGAATCTCTTTAGGACAATGGGGGATTACTGATGCTATTATAGATTTTAAGGCTATTTGTTTCATTTGATTTGTAGCCATAATTATATTGCCTGATACTTTGCTAGCATAGGACTTGGAAGTAGGGGGTTTCTTGGATGTTCCTTCTTTCGGCTTGATGCTCTTTTTCATAGATACTCCACTTCGCACCACTTTTTTTTTGATGCATAGCAATTTCGAGGTTCGTCATCATTTTCATCTACATATTTAACATATTCTTCATCATCGTCTTCTATTTACTCTTCTTCTACCACGACTTCCTTCACTATGTATCTTCTTCAAAGGTTTCGGGATCTTCAGTCTTTTCTACCTTATCATGAGATATATAATTAATCTTTTTAGTCTGCTTAACTCCAGGACAATTAATCTTTGTATGACCAGCCTTTTTACAGACTGAGTAAAGACGAACAATTCATTTAATTGGTGCTTTTTGTACTACCTTTCTAATAGCTTTCTTTGTAGCATTTGTATTTCTAACCTAAGGCTTTGCAAAGGGGTTCCTTTTAACATTAGTTACTTTTCGCTCTAACCTTTTACCAAATTCATCATAGATATGTGATCCTAAGGTTGAGATATCCATTGCTACACCTAAATAATCCAAATCCTTTGCTAGGTGAACTATAAATTCATGTTCAGCTTGTGATTCTTTTTGTATAGATGAATGTGATAGAGTTTCTTTACTGAAAGAGGAAACACCTACACGCCTACCAGCTTCTAACCATTTATCATTAAGTTGGATAAAAAAGGCATTAAGATCTACTGGATTTCTGATTTTAATCTGTAATTCCAAATTTTCAGGTAAATAACTATAAAGAATAGGTAGAGCATCTGCAAATAGTAAAGCATCTACACGTGGCCTAATCCATTTTTCATATGTTTCTGAAGTATCAATAAAAAGAAATTTATCAGACATAAGCGCTTTCATAGAAGCCTGTGCTGAACCTAGTTTTACTGCATGATATGTTTCTTGAAGCCATGCTATAAATAATGCTGGTGTATTAACTGCATTACCAGCATTATTATTAAATGAATTAGGAGAAGTGAATCTTCCCGCCATCTTACCTGCTAATACATTAGTTTTCACACTATTATTAAAAACTGCCACTTCTAATGAATGACCATAATCAATTGCCTGCTTAATCTTATTATAATAGTCATCTGGTAGCTCTTGACCAACATATTGCGGTATTTGTGCTAAAAGTGGGGCCATTGAATTTAAAACATCTGATAGGGTAGCCATATTTCCTGAAGGATTTATTTGTAAATTCAAAATAATTTGCCGTGAATTTATTTCTTTTTGCTTCCATTTTTCATATCGATCATATACTCGATCTCGATTATATTCTAATAATCCTATATCATTTCTGCTTTGACGAT